CTGCAGGGGTGGATCATTGTATTACTGACATGCAGGAGTGGATCATTGTATAACTGACCTGCAGGGGTGGATCATTGTACAACTGACCTGCAGGGGTGGATCATTGTACTACAGACCTGCAGGGGTGGATTATTGTACAACTGACCTGCAGGGGTGGATCATTGTACAACTGACCTGCAAGGGTGGATCATTGTATAACTGACCTGCAGGGGTGGATCATTGTACAACTGACCTGCAAGGTTGGATCATTGTACAACTGACCTGCAGGAGTGGATAATTGTACAACTGACCTGCAGGGGTGGATCATTGTACAACTGACCTGCAGGGGTGGATCATTGTACAACTGACCTGCAGGGGTGGTTCATTGTATAACTGACCTGCAGGGGTGGCTCATTATATAACTGACCTGCAGGGGTGGATCATTGTACAACCGACCTGCAGGGGTGGATCATTATATAACTGACCTGCAGGGGTGGATCATTGTACAACTGACCTGCAGGGGTGGATCATTCTATAACTGACCTGCAGGGGTGGATCATTGTACAACTGACCTGCAGGGGTGGATCATTGTACAACTGACCTGCGGGGGGTGGATCATTGTACTACAGACCTGCGGGGGTGGATCATTGTACTACAGACCTGCAGGGGTGGATCATTGTACAACTGACCTGCAGGGGTGGATCATTGTACTTCAGACCTGCAGAGGTGGATCATTGTACAGCTAACCTTCAGGGGTGGATCATTGTACTACAGACCTGCGGGGGAGGATCATTGTACAGCTAACCTTCAGGGGTGGATCATTGTACTACAGACCTGCGGGGGAGGATCATTGTTCTACAGACCTGCAGGGGTGCATCATTATACTACAGACCTGCAGGGGTGGATCATTGTACTACAGACTTGCAGGGGTGGATCATTGTACTACAGACCCGCAGGGGTGGATCATTGTACTACAGACCTGCAGGGGTGGATCATTGTACTACAGACCTGCAGGGGTGGGTCATTGAACAACTGACCCGCAGGGGTGGATCATTGTACAACTGACCTGCAGGGGTGGATCATTGTACTACAGACCTGCGGGGGTGGATCATTGTACTACAGACCTGCAGGGGTGGATCATTGTACTACATACTTGCTGGGGGTGGATCATTGTACTACAGACCTGCAGGGGTGGATCATTGTACTACAGACCTGCAGGGGTGGATCATTGAACAACTGACCCGCAGGGCTGGATCATTGTACTACAGGCCTGCAGGGGTAGATCATTGTACAACTGACCTGCAGGTGTGGATCATTATACATGACACTCCACACTTCACGTGAGCCAAGCATTAGAGTATGCAGCCGACGCAGGAAAGTGAAACTAATTACAAACAGGAAAACGAGATAAGGTCCAGAGGTTTCCACCAGTTTTCCCCAAGTATTATTCTAAGTTACTGAGGTAGGTTAAGATCACTATAACATTCCTCTAAATGCCAAGCAGAGGAGACATGATCACATCGTACAAGATTTTGAGAGACGCAGGCAAAGTTGCCAGGCATAACCTGCCATAGGGAAAATAAATAAGGTTAGTATTTCAAGGCTAGAAAGGATAGATTTAGAACAATATTATTTGCGAACTTCACTTCAGAGTTTTGAACTTTCCCGTGTTAATTAAGAACGCTATTTTTGAAGTTTTCCTTCAATGTACACATGAAAAAATCCGGAGAAGAATTGCCAAATAAAAGGCCGAAACAACTTCTGGTTTCCATCGTACATACCGACCCAGACGACCATTGGAAATACCAGACAAAATTCCTCAGTCCTCTCGCCAGGGAGGCATCTTATCACACACACATACACACATATACGCTGCTGTGTTTGCTATGTCGTATTCATTTCCCATCCGCCTCTGAAACACACTCCCTGAAACACTATGCGTGGTAGCGGCTTTGCAAGTGTGTACCACTCAATGACGAACGTGCGTGCTCTCTCTACCCTTCGTTATTTGTAGACAAGGACGAACAATCCTGTGCTGCTCCTCATCCTAACAAATGAACCCATCAAAATCGTGGCTATGTTCCGAAGTGACGAAAAGGCCTTCGGAACCTATATATATATATATATATATATATATATATATATATATATATATGTCGTACCTAGTAGCCGGAACGCACTTCTCAGCCTACTATGCAAGGCCCGATTTGCCTAATAAGCCAAGTTTTCCTGAATTAATATATTTTCTCTAATTTTTTTCTTATGAAATGATAAAGCTACCCATTTCATTATGTATGAGGTCAATCTTTTTTTATTTAAGTTAAAATTAACGTAGATATATGACCGAACCTAACCTAACCTATCTTTATAGCTTAGGTTAGGTTAGGTAGCCGAAAAAGTTAGGTTAGGTTAGGTTAGGTAGGTTAGGTAGTCGAAAAACAATTAATTCATGAAAACTTGGCTTATTAGGCAAATCGGGCCTTGCATAGTAGGCTGAGAAGTGCGTTCTGGCTACTAGGTACGACATATATATATATATATAGATATATATATATATATATATATATATATATATATATATATATATATATATATATATATATATATATATATATATATATATATATATATACACACACACACACGTGTTAGCAAAATCCTCCCCAGGTTGCAGCACCAGAATAAGCTGACTAAACTCCTGAGCGCCTATTTACTGCTAGGTGAACAGGTGTATTATGTAGGTAGGAAACGCGCCCAACCTTTTCTGTCCCGGGATTCCAACCGGAATTCCCAGGAATGAGTCGAGAACGAACCCGACCAGGACCCGAAATATTAAATACAAAATATGAAACACAAAACGCCTGATAATTCAGGCAACTACTCCTGTTTCCGAACTGCCTCTCAGTTGGCTCTTTACAAGGCCGAGGAAATGGGACCCCCTTCACGAAGCTATCAGGTTCCCAGACTCCATTAAGTGCCTTCTTGTAATCTACTTAAGTTTCTGGGTATTTCCTTAACCGTTTTCTCTTTGATATTTCGCCTCACGTTTTTCAGTCGCTACTCATCGTGTATTATAATTTAATAAATCTTCTTGGGTTTAAATCTGAACATTTCCTGTTTAAGTTTCTTTAATTTTACAACCCTGTGATTGTGACGTATCGTCGACCTGTTTTCTGTGACATTTCGTCGACCAATTTGCTCTGTCGCCTTTCACATGCTTCCTTCTGGCATTTCCAACCCCCTTTGAAGGAGCTTTCACGGGTGTTATGTTTGTCCTTAGATCTGACACATGACCTAAGACCTCAAGGGGACTTAAGTGGTTAAGTAAAGGTCTTAAACACTTACGTAAACGTCTGTATGCAAGTAAGAATAACGTGGTCGCTATACTTTATATATTATATAACTGTAGTTACCCTTATACGTTAAGACAAACTAGAATATCTATTGATTTTGTAATGCTTATTTATGTTAATCAGTCTTCTCACAAGTTTCTGTTCAGTTACACGCATTGGCCTGAAACTTATGAACTTTAGTTTCAACAAAAAAGAGAATGTTTGATATTGGAAATGTGTTTACCAAAGTAACTAGAATTTTATTTGCATTTTTCCGTTTCCGTGAGACATCCTCAAAAGGCCTCAACAAACCTGCTTGAAACTGACAGCACTGAAGTTAGATCAAACGACAAATGTTCCGTTCATTATTATACAATGTAATCCAATGGCAGTTCTTTATTTTAAGATGTTGTATATTACATATCATATAATATGTTACTACAATAATATAAGTCTTGTATATTAATATGTGTTTTTATTCCATCATCTCCTGTACAATATATAAATAAAAGGAGGCTGGGGAGGATCGTAGTTGTTAAGCATATATAATATAGTATTGTTATGCATATAATATTTCCTATACTGTAATGCATACCTGGAATATAGAGACCTGGAATACCAGCTTTGATAGACTACCATCAAAACGTATGTAGTAAAGGAATGATGACATTGGAGCATCTATTTATTTACAGCTTCATCACTTTTTCCTTTACCTAAATTTTGATTTTTTTACTTATTATTCTAATTCTAATTTCGCCATATTCTTATTGTTGTTACTGGAAATGTTTGTTTTGTGATACTGAACAACAGCAGATAATAAAAAGGCTGCCTTTGGCATCATCTTGTGTTACCATCAGACCTTCAGGTCTCTCTTCTCAACATTCATCACAACACGTGGCCGGTACCATCTTTATACCTACCTGTCCTCCTACCTGTCCTCCTACCTGTCCTCCTACTACCTGTCCTCCTACTACCTGTCCTCCTACCTGTCCTCCTTCCTGTCCTCCTACCTGTCCTCCTTCCTGTCCTCCTTCCTGTCCTCCTTCCTGTCCTCCTTCCTGTCCTCCTTCCTGTCCTACTACCGGTCCTCCTACTACCTGTCTTCCTACTACCTGTCCTCCTACTACCGGTCCTCCTACTACCTGTCTTCCTACTACCTGTCCTCCTACTACCTGTCCTCCTACTACCTGTCCTCCTACTACCTGTCCTCCTACTACCTGTCCTCCTACTACCTGTCCTCCTACTACCGGTCCTCCTACTACCTGTCTTCCTACTACCTGTCCTCCTACTACCTGTCTTCCTACTACCTGTCCTCCTACTACCTGTCCTCCTACTACATGTCCTCCTACTACCTATCCTCCTACATGTCCTCCTACTACCTGTCCTCCTACTACCTGTCCTCCTACTACCTGTCCTCCTACTACCTGTCCTCCTACTACCGGTCCTCCTACTACCTGTCTTCCTACTACCTGTCCTCCTACTACCTGTCTTCCTACTACCTGTCCTCCTACTACCTGTCCTCCTACTACATGTCCTCCTACTACCTATCCTCCTACATGTCCTCCTACTACCTGTCCTCCTACTACATGTCCTCCTACTACCTATCCTCCTACTACATGTCCTCCTACTACCAGTCCTCTCTTCTACCTGTCCTCCTACTACATATCCTCCTACTACCTATCCTCCTACATGTCCTCCTACTACCTGTCCTCCTACTACCTGTCCTCCTACTACATGTCCTCCTACTACATGTCCTCCTACTACATGTCCTCCTACTACCTATCCTCCTACATGTCCTCCTACTACCTGTCCTCCTACTACATGTCCTCCTACTACATGTCCTCCTACTACATATCCTCCTACTACCTATCCTCCTACATGTCCTCCTACTACCTGTCCTCCTACTACCTGTCCTCCTACTACATGTCCTCCTACTACATGTCCTCCTACTACATGTCCTCCTACTACCTATCCTCCTACTACCTATCCTCCTACATGTCCTCCTACTACCTGTCCTCCTACTACCTGTCCTCCTACTACATGTCCTCCTACTACATGTCCTCCTACTACATGTCCTCCTACTACATGTCCTCCTACTACATGTCCTCCTACTACATATCCTCCTACTACCTATCCTCCTACATGTCCTCCTACTACCTGTCCTCCTACTACCTGTCCTCCTACTACATGTCCTCCTACTACATATCCTCCTACTACCTATCCTCCTACATGTCCTCCTACTACCTTTTCTTCTACTACCTGTCCTCCTACTACCTGTCCTCCTACTACATGTCCTCCTACTACATATCCTCCTACTACCTATCCTCCTACATGTCCTCCTACTACCTGTCCTCCTACTACCTGTCCTCCTACTACATGTCCTCCTACTACATATCCTCCTACTACCTATCCTCCTACATGTCCTCCTACTACCTTTTCTTCTACTACCTGTCCTCCTACTACCTGTCCTCCTACTACATGTCCTCCTACTACATATCCTCCTACTACCTATCCTCCTACATGTCCTCCTACTACCTGTCCTCCTACTACCTGTCCTCCTACTACATGTCCTCCTACTACATATCCTCCTACTACCTATCCTCCTACATGTCCTCCTACTACCTTTTCTTCTACTACCTGTCCTCCTACTACCTGTCCTCCTACTACATGTCCTCCTACTACCTGTCCTCCTACTACATGTCCTCCTACTACCTGTCCTCCTACTACCTGTCCTCCTACTACCTGTCCTCCTACTACCTGTCCTCCTACTACATGTCCTCCTACTACCTGTCCTCCTACTACCAGTCCTCTCTTCTACCTGTCCTCCTACTACCTGTCCTCCTACTACATGTCCTCCTACTACCTGTCCTCCTACTACCAGTCCTCTCTTCTACCTGTCCTCCTACTACCTGTCCTCCTACTACCTGTCCTCCTACTACCAGTCCTCTCTTCTACCTGTCCTCCTACTACCTGTCCTCCTACTACCTGTCCTCCTACTACCTGTCCTCCTACTACCTGTCCTCCTACTACCTGTCCTCCTACTACCTGTCCTCCTACTACCTGTCCTCCTACTACCTGTCCTCCTACTACCTGTCCTCCTACTACCTGTCCTCCTACTACCTGTCCTCCTACTACCTGTCTCCCTACTACCTGTCCTCCTACTACCTGTCCTCCTACTACCTGTCCTCCTACTACCTGTCCTCCTACTACCTGTCCTCCTACTACCTGTCCTCCTACAAAGAACGTCGCTTTTCGCTCGTATGCGTTACATAAGGCCAAAAATTGTCGTACTAGAAAATGGAAGCGGCTCGCATCAGTAACGTTTTATCCCATTTTCTGTTTTGGGTCCTCTGGTTGGTTAGGAGAGGACACTTTAAATTTATGGTTTTCTCGATGTTGGGAAACCTTCGCAGGACGAGCTGCTTTATACCACACTAAACTTTGGGGAATGCTTGAAAAGGCTGTGTATTTTTGAACAGCCAAACATGTTTGACACAGAACTTCACAAGAGATTACTAAACCAATTTTGAAAGGCAAGGGGGGGGGGGGGAGTGGAAAAGCACTGACATGAGTTAGGAATTACCTAACAGGCAGGAGTCAGCGAGTCCTGGCTGTTAGGGGTAAGACATAGGATTGAGGGGTGAGAAATCGGACTGGAGTAGGGTAACACGAGAAGTACCTCAAGGATCAGTGCTGGGATCCACACTATATTTCATTTATAAATGACCTATCTGCTGGAGTTGAGGCTTATATGTCAATGTTTACAGACGATGCAAAACTAATGAGAAGAGTTCTGCCAGATGAAGATTATAAGATTTTCCAAGATGATTTAAACAAGCTGCAAGGTTGATTCGAGAAATGGTTACTGGAATTCAGCACCAGACGTGTAAGGTGATGTAGATGGTAACAGGTGACGAGAGATCAAAAGAACAGTACACAATGAAGGGGAAATTCCTCCAAGTAACTATAGAACAAGACCTGGGAGTGGACATAACATCATACCTAACACTGGAAGCTTATAACGCTGGAAGCTTATAACGCTGGAAGCTTATAACGCTGGAAGCTTATAACGCTGGAAGCTTATGACGCTGGAAGCTTATAACGCTGGAAGCTTATAACGCTGGAAGCTTATAACGCTGGAAGCTTATAACGCTGGAAGCTTATAACACTGGAAGCTTATAACGCTGGAAGCTTATAACGCTGGAAGCTTATAACGCTGGAAGCTTATAACGCTGGAAGCTTATAACGCTGGAAGCTTATAACGCTGGAAGCTTATAACGCTGGAAGCTTATAACGCTGGAAGCTTATAACGCTGGAAGCTTATAACTCTGGAAGCTTATAACACTGGAAGCTTATAACGCTGGAAGCTTATAACGCTGGAAGCTTATAACGCTGGAAGCTTATAACACTGGAAGCTTATAACGCTGAAGCTTATAACGCTGGAAGCTTATAACGCTGGAAGCTTATAACACTGGAAGCTTATAACGCTGGAAGCTTATATCACTGGAAGCTTATAACGCTGGAAGCTTATAACACTGGAAGCTTATAACGCTGGAAGCTCATAACACTGGAAGCTTATAACGCTGGAAGCTTATAACGCTGGAAGCTTATAACGCTGGAAGCTTATAACACTGGAAGCTTATAACGCTGGAAGCTTATAACACTGGAAGCTTATAACGCTGGAAGCTTATAACACTGGAAGCTTATAACGCTAGAAGCTTATAACGCTGGAAGCTTATAACACTGGAAGCTTATAACGCTGGAAGCTTATAACGCTAGAAGCTTATAACGCTGGAAGCTTATAACGCTGGAAGCTTATAACGCTGGTAGCTTATAACGCTGGAAGCTTATAACGCTGGTAGCTTATAACGCTGGAAGCTTATAACGCTGGAAGCTTATAACACTGGAAGCTTATAACACTGGAAGCTTATAACACTGGAAGCTTATAACGCTGGAAGCTTATAACGCTGGAAGCTTATAACACTGGAAGCTTATAACGCTGGAAGCTTATAACGCTGGAAGCTTATAACGCTGGAAGCTTATAACGCTGGAAGCTTATAACGCTGGAAGCTTATAACGCTGGAAGCTTATAACGCTGGAAGCTTATAACGCTGGAAGCTTATAACACTGGAAGCTTATAACGCTGGAAGCGGAGCGTACTCTACACTAGCAAAAGTTAAAACATCATTCAGAAACCTAATGATGCAGGATAAGGAGGCATTAAGATCGCTCTTAACCCCCTACATGAGACCACATTTAGTGTTTGTAGCTCCATCGTGGAGCATACACTTTATACATACATACATATATATATATATATATATATATATATATATATATATATATATATATATATATATATATGCGAACAAGTCTAGTATGGTCCCCAAGTCAATAAGCAACTGAAAACTCCACACCCCAGAAGGATTCGAAAGCAGACAGCCAGGCGCACTGTGCACCTTCGCATACCTGGTTCCTTAACCGCTTGACCACACTGACTGTACAAAAATGTTGGAAGTCGTGAGACTTATGTACCCAACATCCGACAGCGCTCGGTGGGTAACTTGGGCATACATATTCCATAGAATCACCTCACTTGGCGGGGCCATACATAAGTCTCACGACTTATTATATTCCAGAGGTACAGACTCATTCCTCTCAATGTTTGCTGACGATGCAAAAGTTATGGGAAGGATTAAGACAGGACGACAATAAGAGACTACACGAAGACGTTGACAAACTCAAGGAATGGTCCAACAAATAGCTGTAGACTTCAACTCAAGCAAGTCTTAAGTAATGAAAATAGGTGAAGAGGCAGTAAGCCTGATATAAGGTACCATTTGGAAGATGAAATCCTTCAACAATCAGGAGAGAAATATCTGGAGGTTGACATCACGCCGAACCTGTCCCCTGAAGCCCACACTAAATGCATATCATTACCAGTATATGCTCGGTTGGCCAACGTAAGAACTGCCTTTAGAAATATGTGTAAGACATCATTCAGGACCATGTATACCACATATGTCAGACAAACCCTGGAACATGCAGCTCCAGCGTGGAGTTCGTACCTAGTGAAGCACAAGATAAAGGCAGAAAAGTTCAGAGGTACGCCACAAGACTGGTTCCCGAGCTGAGGGGCATGAGCTACGAGGAAAGATTACTGGAAGTGAACCTGGCTTACGTCACTAGAAGACAGAAGAGTTGGTGAAGACATATTTACCACTTACAAAATACTCAAGGGGAATTGACAGGGTAGAACGAAGACTAATTATTTACCAAGCGTGATATACCAACAAGGGAACACAGGTGGAAACTTAGTGTTAAAATCAGCCACAAAGCCATTAGAGAGAATTATTTTCAGCGTCAGAGTAGTTAACAAATGGAATGCATTACGACGTAATGTGGTGGAGGCTGACTCCATATACGGTTTCAAATGTAAATATGATAGAGCTCAATAGGCTCACGAACCTGTACACCAGTTGATTCATGGCTGAGAGCCAGTACCAAAGAGCCGAAGCTCAAGCCCCGCAAACACAACTAGGTAAGTATACACAAACACCCAGTTTGGATTTCAGGATCGATTCCCGGCCGAGGCACAAACAATTGGCCTATTTCTTTCATTGGATGCCCCTGCTCACTTAGTGATAAATAGGTACCTGGGAGTTAGACAGCTACTACGGGCTGCATCCTGGGGATATGTATATGTATGTGTGTGTGTGTGTGTGTGTGTGTGTGTGTGTGTGTGTGTGTGTGTGTGTGTGTGTGTGTGTGTGTGTGTGTGAGTGAGAGAGAGAGAAATATATGTAGCAGGTATATGAAAAAGGAAAATAGATCGATATAATCAGTACATTAGAAAACCGACATATGGAAAGGCGGAGTCCAAGAGCTATGAGTGGTCCTGCAGGCACAAATAGTAAACACACAAACGTCCACCCATGCGCACATTTTACAACAGCATGTAAAGTTTCTCTCCATTAATTTCTCATTTAATCATTAGTTATCTATTCACCTTCCCTTGAATGTCCATTATCCAATAATCTCGCTACTCCCGTGTTATCTCTGTAAATATTATTAGTATGGTTTTTAACACCTCTGTTTACCACAGCCTCCCTTTCCTTCCACAAATATTTCCGTTTTCTCTTACTCGGTTATCGATTTCGTGTTTTTTTCACATCACTTTCGCAAAATTAAAATTTTTCAGGAGTTCCCCCTGTTTATCGTCTTCCGTCATCCCTCTAACAATGCTTTTACAAAATTACATATGCCATTTTCTATATTTTCTACTATGTTGATTGTCATTTTAAATTAAGTAGAATAATTATGGTAAGAGTTTCAACTGAAGAACAAGTTTAAAATTAGATAAATCATCAGGTTGGCCAGGGCGGCCCCGGGTCATCAGAAAGGTTTCAGGGTCATTAGAGTGACCCCCAGGTCATAAGAACAACCCCCTTATCCATCAGGGCGACCCCAGGGCCATCATGGTGGCCCCAGGGCCATCAGAACGACCACAGAGTCATCAGAGTGGCCCAAAGGCCATCAGCGCGGCCCCAGCGTCATCAGGTCGTCACCGGGACCATCAGGGAGGCCACTAGTATCATCAGAGTGGCCGCGGATCCATCAAGACGACCCCTGGGTGATC